GCAGGACCTCTTATGAAATATCATTTGGAAGTGATAAAATCAATAAAGTGAACCCTGAGTGACAATGACAGAATAAAAAGTTTAAGAACTAAAGTACCTTCATGTGTCCACAAGTCCTTTTAAAGTATTTACTACCATATGAAAAACAGAGGCCATTTCAGCAGAGCCACCAGAATAACAGCGAAGACCACAGATATGCTAATTATAATTCTTATTTACAAACAGAATTATCAAATGGGGAACTATAAAAGAACTAAAGTTGTTTTTTCTGACTGACTCAGTAGGACTTAACCTTATATCAGAGTTGTGGTTGTGGTTTTCCAAATGGCATTGAAAGTCTCATTTTTGCCAGGCTATTGAAATTAAGTACAATGTCATCATTAGCATTTATAGAGCAATGTATAATGTTTCACAATCACTTAACAGTTCATCTTATAGAATAAGTAGTTGAAATAACCATTTTATAAGTGAAGAAACTGATAAATAAAGTCATCAGCATTACTGAGATTATGATATGGATTCCCTAATTTCTAATTCAATGCAAAAAAATCAAAAATTTAACTAAGAGAAATCTTTATAGATCCTTAAAAATGCTATATTTGGGTATATGAATACAGGGAGGTAAATCATCTCCAGATGACCCATTTTCCTCCCTAAAGGAAAAAAATTTTCAAACTTTGTGAAAACAACTGAAGAAAATTACAGTGGTTTCTCTTATGTAAGAGACTGCAATAACAAATGACCTTTCAAATGAGGAAGAAGTAGTCTTTGGTTAATTACAGCAAGTGATAGAATCTACTTTTTCAACACTAGGGCAAAAATCATTCACTTCATTGAACAGCACTGGTGTGGCTTAATATTCATTATCTTTTCTATTTAGATAACTGGGCCTAGAAAAGTAGTTAAATCATCCACAACAAAGTTCTTTGGACACACTGCTGACAGATGTTCTTCTCTTAATGATAATGGCCAACTAAAAATCTTGGTGATATTTAATAGTTTGCTTAGTAACTCATTTGTCTTGAATAATTTTGATGTTCTAATAATAGAGGGCTGGACTACATGAATCTTCAACCCTTTAGAATTATGTCATTTACTTAAAATTCAGAAAAGAATCCCTTTAAAACAATGCATTTTGATGCTGGAGTAATGACACTTCTTAATGAAAGAAAAAAATATTGAATTGGAATCATGTCTCAAAATTCACATCCTGGACATTAGTTCTGTGTTATCACTTCTGACTACTACTGAGTGAAGTGTTAGTCTCCTCATCATACAGATGTACAGTCCATTCACATATGTTTTTTTAAGGCTGGGGTCACATCTCTTTCTTTCCTCCAATCTCATAATCTATTTTGTACTTTCTTATGTTTTATGTTCATTATTTTATCTCTAAAATCTGCCATTACCCATAATTTCTATACTTTTTTTGATTCTCCCAGTCACAAATACATAATAAATACATAACATTCAATCAACCAATAGATATTTATTAAGCACCCTTTATGTGCTCAGTACTGTGCTGGGCACCAGGGATATAAGCATGAAGAATGAAACAATTCCTACTCAGAAGAAACTTGCATTCTAATGGAGGAAAAACTTGGCACATACAGAAATATATATAGCATAAATATACAAGGAATAAATACAAATACATACAAAGTACTTAAATACAACTTAGTTTAGGAGGAAAGAAACAGAAGTTTAAGAGGATCAGGGAAGGCTTCATGCAAAAGACGGTGTCATAGCTACATCTTCAAGAAAAGAGAGACTGTATGAGGTGTGGCAGAGATGGGAGATGTAGGACAGTATGTGTGGAACAGAAAGAAGACCAGTTTGGTTGGACTGCAGAGTGTAGGATGAAGAGTAATGTCCAATGAGTCTGGACAGATAGGTTGGGAATAGGCTATGCAGTTGACTTACGGATAGATAGATGGATGGATGGATGGATGGATGGATGGATGGATACATCTCTAGTTCCTCTCCTCTGAACTCCAATCCTACAATTCCAATTGACTGTTGACTGTTTTGAACTCAAGGTTCCAGACACACGCTAAACTCAACATGTTCAAAACTAAACTGATTCTATTTCCACCTAATCCCTCTTCTCTTCCAAGCTTGACTATTTCTTTTAAAGACACCACCAGCCTTCTAGTCTCAAAGTTCAAAACCTTATCATTTTCCTTAGCTCCTTATTCTCCCTCATCCCACAAATCCAGTCCCTTGCCAAATCCTCCGATGTCTACCTTTCCAACATCTTTTGCATCTGACCTCTTCTCTTCCCACACTGATGCCACATTATTTCAGATCCTCATTCCCTCTTGCCTAGATGATTGCAACAGCCTTCTAACTGGTCTCCCTGCCTCAAATCTCTCACCACTCCAGTCCATCCTACAGAGTTCTGTCATTTTCCTTAAGCAGAAATCTGACCATTTGATTCTGCTACTCAATCAACTTCAATGACCTCCTATTGCCTCTAAGATTAAAATAAACTCATCTGTTTAGCCTTAGACAGCCTATTCTCAACCTATCTGTCCAGACTCATCATGTATTTGGCAAATAAGGACCCTCTTATCTCCATTTTTAAAATGGCTATATTTATAATTCCTATTACTTCTCTTATAGCTAGAGCTAGCACTTCTGGGACTACATCCAGTGACCATGGGGAGAGAGAGCATCATTGCTTTGTTTCTATACTCACTGGGAATGCTTCTTGTCTTTATCCACTCCAAATAATGCTAACTGTTGGATACAGACAAATGTTTTTCCTTGTACTAAAGAAGGGTCCTTCTATGCTTACAGGTTTTAGGATTTTTAACTTAATATGTCATTTTTAATTTGGGTCTAACGTTCTATTCTAGCAAGATCTTTTTGACTTTTGATTCTATTTCCCACCATATTTACTATGCCTTCCACTTCTGTGTCTACGAATTTGGTTTGTATGATTGCTTTCCACATCAGCCTCCAGGTTGCTGATACAACCATAATACCATCGATAACAATTTGCATTTTCCTCTATAAAGCACGGTTTGAAGTATTGTTCACTTTATACACTCAGGTAAACAAAAAACAGACAAAAAAAAATCCCAGGGCTACAAAGCTCTACTACAAACCTAGTTGCTAGCACAACACAACTTTACATTCCAAAGCCAGAGAGAGGATGCAAATAATAATACTAAGGATGCTTCCTGCGATCCTTGCTGTTTTATTTATGTGATTTATGCTGTTTTGGGATGCGCCTTAGTACAAAAACTTTATAATGGTTTTGTATATGGTTGGGAATAATGTCCTAGAGAGTACTTAGTGTTTGTAACTCAAATTTAAAGTCTGTCCTATTGCAATTAAATTAAAAAAGAAAATCAAACTATATCCTATAAGGTATCAATGTGTTAAAAAAAAAAAACCCACTATGGTTTCAATCAAAATTATGTTCACGCAGCTGCAATTAAGTATAAACATTGGTTACATTGGTAAAACACTGGCAAACACTGTTTGGCTTAAAATAGTATAGGCTGACTACTCTAATGCCTCCTGCTGGCATGGAGGTGACCTTGCATTCTTGAAGACGATGCCCTGCAGAGCACAAGCTAAGGCAAGTCCTACGAAAGTGGAGAAGCTTCCAGTTCACACTTGGTGATGGACTATCTGTCTGCTGCCTGAGGACTAGGCCTGCAAAATTTTGAAAGGTTCCTCACCAGTTTGGCCACATGATGAAGCCCTTTTTCAATAGAGAAATTCTGGAAGATAATTTACTAATCAGTGTCAGCAGGTGTACTACATACTAACAATATCATGGATCCTTGAAGTTTTTTCTCGAGCAAGAATATCTATCACTGAATATTTATCATTAAAAAATGAACTGCTAATGAAAATTAACTTATGTCCCAGCTAGAATAATGATTTTCTCTCCTTTTCTTTACTCTTAGGTACCTATCATATTTGAAGTATGTTGCCACTAATCATCCTGATAATCCAGTTCCATTTCCTTTTCTTAGTGGTGTTTTTTAGAACGCTTTTATTATTTAGGATTCTTACACATTGCACAGATGGTTTGAAATATTTCCCTGGGACATTTCACGCAGTGAAACAGACTAATTCCTATCTACTTTTCAGGATAACACAGACCAGGAACTAAGGAATAAAGAAAAAAAAACCCATACAGAAACTGAATTTATATCTAAGGAAGATAACTAATTGAATGGATGTTAATTGAATTCCAGGGTACTAACAGAGTTCACATTTGAACTCAGGCCCTCTGACTCCAGATCCAGCTCTACTATGCTTCCTCTCAAGCAATTTTTGGCCAAGACTAGATCCATGTTATTGACTTAAAATTAAGGTATATGCAAGAAGAGAAAGTTTGTGTCTTAAAAGAAGCTTCTCAAAATGAAAATATTTTTAAACTAAAGACTGGGCTTTTTTTGTTCTGTTCTATCCATTATTTGCAAGACTTTTGCAATCTTAACAGTAAGACTCCATTGTCATACAATGTTATTCTTCTAACAAACATGAGTCTTCTTCCCTTGTCAGCTTTGTTTTTATTTACTTCCTATTTATGTTACCAGCCATAAGGATGATGTTTGCAAAAGGTCCAAGAACAGAGTGTCTCAGTAAATTCATGTCCCTTTTAGAAACACACTAGGTCATTCTGTTGATGTAATAATTAGTAACTACTGTCTTAAAAATATTTAGATAGAGAGCTGGTGTTATTTTTTTTTAAATAAAATACTTTAAATCTCTTTCTCTGACTGAAAAATCTAACCCAATGGATGATATGCATTGTCAATGATCAATCATCTAAATTTAGGGGGAAAAATTTGTGGAAGCTAAGTGGGAAAAATAAATACTGGTTTCATTTGTGCTATTTAAATCCCTGGATATAAATACATTCATATTTTAAATATGGTGACACTTGTTGTGGGGGTAGTGGTGGTGTGTGTATGTGTGTGCTAGCATTTTTTACTTTTATTTACAAGGTAGAATTAGTTAAGTGTTCTTACCTCTCCTCGGGTACAGGGAAAGGGACTGGAGTATCTAGAAGTACAAATGGCTCCTTTCTCAAAAACATCATCCTCTAGGCCAAAGGTGGCAGAGCAGTTGGTGGCAAAATACTTGTAAGGTTTCCAAGTTTTCCCAAAATCTTGTGATCGCTCTAGAACCATTACTGCTGGTCTAGGTGACTTAAACACCATAATCAGGTGAGTGAAGTAGAATGCAGTCTCGAGGTCCAGCTGGATCTTCTCCCTGTGAGCATCTTCAGCTGACTGCCACCAAGTGCGGGGAAACCGGAAGGATGAGTCTGCCATAGAAGAGGGCAGGTGAGCCAGGTGAGGATGGGCAGCGTTACACTTGTCACACTTGGGTGGCCTGCAAGTCAGGTCAGTGTTCTCGCTGTAGGAGCAGTATAGTTCTGTGGAATTCCTGCCGCAGGTGGTATCTGCCCAGAGTCTCCTCCCAAGAGCCAGATTTCCCATCCGAGGGTTACATGCCTTTTCACAGTGGGAACCTACTCCAGTTACACTGCTCAGTCCTAAGAAGAGGAATAGGGCACGTGTTATTTGAAACCAACCCATCTAGAAAGCTGCTCTACTAACCCAGTAAAGTTATAGGGGGCAACATCAGCTGGCATGATACGTGAGTCAAAGGAAAATACCATCCAAAAGGAGCTGGCAGAGTGCCCTACATTTCCTCTGTGTGCTTTGTTTAGATGTTCAGATGTGAAACTTGGCTAAAGAGAAAAAAAAAGCACTAGGTGGGGGTGGGGGGATGCAAAGCGGAGAAAGAGGAAGGATGAGAGTTTTTGGGCTTAATCTAATCCCCCTCCCCCTTTATATCTGCCCTATCATACTCATCTTCAAAGTCCTTGTAAATTAGGATATCATGAAACTATACCATTTCACAAAAGCATCACAAAAGTAATTTAGTCATTCAAATATAGTGATGCATTCACATACATTAGAACAAGGCACTGTCAAGCGAGTCTAGGTAAATGACTCAGAAAAAATATGGAACCTTTTCCATAATTTTTTATCCAATGAAAAGACAGGAGTAATATTTGGATGCTTAGAAAATAAAACAGGCAAGGAGACCTCCTTTAGGGGTGCAAAGAAACAGCTACAGATAGTTTGAACTTAAATACATCTCTAATCTAAAGTAAATACACAACTGAGGAAAAAGGTGATAAGTTGCCAAATGGTAGAAAATCTTATTTTACATGCTGCTGTCATGTCCTTCAATCTCTTTAATGCCTGTCTGTTTTACAGTAGAAATTTTTACAGTCTGGCAGCCTCTACTATCATCTTTAAACATTACCTCTAAATCAAAACACTATCTTAAAGAAACACAACTCTACCTAATCAATTGTTCAATATACTTTGATGGTTGAAAATTACTTAAAACTAAAATGAAAATCATTAAGTTACACTTTACTCCTTTAAATTGAGTTTACTATCCTGAATATACTATACTCTAAGCAAATACCATATACAAATACTGTTAGCAAAAGTATTAGACCGACTATGAAGAGAAGAAAATGTGAACAGTTTGAAATAGAAAAAGTAACCCAAAGCCTAAATTCTAACTAATTAAATGTTTGTGCTTCTGAGAGATAGTATCTCTATTCTATTATTGTCATGTCACACAAGGCAGTCAAATGACACTACACTAAAGCAGGAAGACTTCTGAATCACTATGACCACCACAAATTTCTTCAGGCATCCGGGCACCAAAAATAAAGGGCTTCACTGGACCCATTTTTAAGTGTCTTATTAAATTTGTAATTAGCTCTGAACTCTGCCAATACTCTGATCCCCAAGTGGCTACAGTTAGTTATGGACAGGCATGCACAAATATACAGTGTACTATGACTCACCTGTACAATATCTCAGGGAAAAACATATACTGCCTGTACAAGTTTTTTTTGACTTGAAACACTTGCCTGGTGGCATTTATTTACAACCTTTTGATTGCTTGCATGCTTTTGCCACAATACGGCCTGAAAAAAGGAAAGGTTTGTTGAAGTTCATTTTGTGGTTAAGCATGTATATGCAAAGGCACACTGGTTTTGGAAGTACAAAAAAGAGCAAAATCTTAAACCATGAAATGCTCCATGGAAAAATACAGAATTGTAATGCCCCTAAACTGACAAAGAGCCTATATGAACAAGAGGCACCAAATTACGTTAGCCAATTGACAGAAGGGGCAGCTATGTGGCACAGTGGATAGGGCAAAAGCCTGCAGTGAGAAAGACCTTAGTTCAAATTGGGCCTCAGACATTATCTGTGTGACTAGCTGTGTGACCCCAGGTAAGTCACTTAACCCTGTTCGCCTCAGTTTCCTCATCTAAATGAGCTGGAGAAGGAAATGGCAAACCACTCCAGTATTTCTGCCAAGAAAACCCCAAGTGAGGTCAAAAAGAGTCAGTCAAGAAGACTGAAACAACTCAACAATAAAACTGATAGAGTACTTAGAGATCTTTGATTAATAGGTAATTCAAGTATTTGGATTATGAAATGCATTGGATCAAGACGGGGGGGGGGGGGGGGGGGGGGTATGCTAAAACAAGTTTCCCTGAATACAAGCTATTCTTATCTATGCAGCATGACAAAAGTCAAAAACAGCCCTTGAATCTGGGTAAATGACAGTAGGGGAAATGACCGTCCCTCTGCTTAAACCCCTCTTCCCCTACTCCTGTTAAGGATTTATGCATCCAAGAAACAGGGATGTGGCTATTAAGTGCCAAGGATTGAAACTTCATCATTTTCATTTTTCCTTAGTCCTCCGAATTGCACTGACACCTTTTTGGAAACCAGTTATCCAGAAAGAACGGGGCCAAGAGAGATCTTGCAAAGTTAACGGCAAACTGGGCGCAGGTGGCCCAGGAGCTGCTTGGGCAGAGGCGAGGGGACTGACGATGGAGGCATTTGACGCCGCATCGGCCTGCTGTCCAGTCTCCGGGGCACGGAGCTGACACCTCCTCCGACCTCCCGCAGAGCCTCCTCGGGGTACCAGTTCTCTGGGGACGGCCAGCCAGCTCAGCTTCCCTAAGCTCTGTGCAAACATACGGAGGGAGCTCCATCAGATCCCCAGCGCTGGGGGCGCGTGGAGCACTGGCACCTCCCGAGTAGGAGGAGTACTCCCTGAAGCCCCCGGGGGAGGGAGGGTCCCCACCTGGCTCTCCAGTGCCCGGCGTGAGAGGTCTGGGGAGGTAGCGATCCACTGACCCTGACCTATCCCAACCTACAGTGCTCGCTGGCTACCTATCCTGCACAACCGGCTGGGGATGGCGACCTTGGCTCCTTTGTTCCCTCCCAAAGTGGCTGGGCAATTTTAAAAAGCCCGAACCTAGAGAGAAAGAAAGCGAGGCTGCAGAGCGGGCTGGACGCCCCAGGATTATCGGGTCATCCTGGACAAGCCAGTCTCTACGAGCAAGAATCGATCCTACTCTGAGCCGCGGAGAAAGGAGCCCCCGGGGGCTGGAAAATGGCCACTCATTTTATCCTGGGCAGCTGGGCTCCTTCACTCCCCCGGCCCCGGCTCCCGGGCCGTCCCTGGGAGAGAGAAGGGCGGAGGGGAGCTGGGAGCGGGGAGCGGGGAGCGGGGAGCGGGCGCTGTCGCCACCAACCTGCGGCCACAGCCGAGCAGCCCCAGAAGAGCAGGAGGCGGGCGCAGCTGCCCATGGCCGGGCGCAGGCGGGCGTGCTCGGGGCGCTGGGGCTCCTCTCCGTCTAGGGCGCCGGGATGCTGCGGGTCCCTCGGGCACGCCGCGGGAGCGGCTGGCGGGGCCCGGGCAGAGCGGGCGCTGCCCGGAACATAGCCGAGCCGCCTCCCGCCCAGCGCCGGCCCGTTCGCTCGCTCGGTCACCCGCCGCGGCCACTGAACTTTCCGAGACCTTTCAGTTCCCGGCCGCCGCCGCCGCCACCGCCTCCTGGGCGTCCCGCTCTTCTCCCTCCGCCTCCGCCTGCTGCTGCTCCCCAGGCTCCGTCTCGTCTTTCTCCATGGGCAGTTTCACGGGATGCATTTTTATTGCACCGACACCGCGGCGGCGCTCCGGTGCCAGCCCTCCTCCCCCTCCCGCCCGCCGTACCCCCACCCCTTCCTCCTGCCCGCCCCCCGGGCTTGACAGCCGGCCGTGCAAACGGTGCGGCCAAGCTCAGTACTGCAGCCCAGAGAACCCCGGGCCGTGGCCGGGAGGCTGGGGAGGGGGCTGCAGGGCGCCCGGAGCCACACAGCACGCCAGCTCCTCCTCGCCTCCTTCCCCTCTGCCCCTCGGCCCTAACACACCGACTCCTCAGCTTCGTCGTCTTCTCCAGCTGCCTGCACCCATCTTCCGACATGGTCCCCCCTCCCCCCTGACCCCCACAGATGCCCTTCGGGACCCACGGGCCTCCCCCGGGAAGCTACCTGCCTTCCACCTTCTCCTGGTACATTCCTGAGAATCAGTTGACTCCCTCTCTGTCAGGTCAGGGCATGCCAAAGGGGCTTTAAAAAAAAAAAAAAAAAGTGAAACAAGAAGCTAGCTAGCGCCTCCTCATCACTTCCCCAACAGTCTCTCCTCGGGGCACGGACCCCATCACCTAAAAGTCCAATGGTCCTAAGCCACCTGGCAAGGAGAATATCAAAGAAGAGAACCTAGACGGTAGAGCTTCACGGTACCCAGCCCAAAAGTCAGGTTTGTCTGCAGAGTGTGGACCTTAGCTCAACAACCACTCCCAGCATTACCTTTGGGCTAACAAATAAAACAGTATCAGGGCTAGGCGAAAGTCTGGAGTATATCCTTGCCTAGAGGGAGGGGATTGTTCAAGACTATCACTCCACGACCCTTCTAGCCCTGTGATTCTGTTCATCTGTGACACGCTGTGCCATGGGATAGCCGTTGGGGAACAGCTCAGGAGCAGCAGACTGCCAAGCTATATCCCGAAATTACGGATACTCAAATACATAGCTCAGTATATACTTCTGAACCAAAGCACAAAGAAGGAGCTGAGATAGCAGCTATACTTGTGGCCTTATTTCTATGAACAAGTTTCTGGAAAATGACAAGAGAAATGTGGAAAGTAGTAATAGACTACAGATTTCATTAATGGGGATTTAGTGCCTCTGAATATGTTCTGGAAAATTAAACAATTCATAAAAAACACCATTTGGTTGTTGTGTCTATTTGAATGTTTTTTGGCACATTTAGGTAATTTACTATGACTCAGCTGGTGACATATCAGGAATTTTATAGCACCCAAGGGAGCTGAGAGTGAGGTCAGGGCAATCCATTTGGGAAACATTTATTTTATTCTATTGGCCAGCACTGGCAAGGGAGTGGTGGGGAATGTGGGGCAGCAATACAATATCACAACAGAACCATTTGGGATTTAAGGTAAAAGCACAATTGAGATACTCGCAAAATCTCACAGATGCTTTAAAAAGATTATCTCTCTCTTCGACAAGGAAACATCCTCCCCCTTCTAAAATTATTTATTGTGCATGTTTGATTTGTAAAACCATCTAAAAAGGCCCTAACACCAAAGAGAGGAGGCACCGGAAAGACAATGAAATTCACTTCCACACTCTTCTGGAACGGATTCTATTATGCTTAGGCCTAAGAATACCATTTCTCACTGTGCATTTCTGTAGCATTTACAATTTGTACCACATAATCAATAAACATTTATTAAGCACTGACTATGTGCCAGGCACTATGCTTAGCACTAGGGACACAAAGAAACAAAAAAGACAGTCCCTGCTCTCAAGGAGCTCATAAAACTCTAAGCTTAATTTCAGTTACTGGTTTAAATCAAGGCTTCTCTTCCATTCTCTCCCACCCCGAGTTAATGTAACCCTAAGCAGGCTTAACTGATGTGTTCCAAACCAGAGAGACATTATTAATAGTTCCACTACATTCTCCAATAGTCAGATCACATCTGGGATATTGTGTTCAGGTCGTGGTGTGGCAGAATAGCAAGCAGCTTCAGGGATAAGCAATTCAGACATCTCTTTTCGATTCTACCTTTTGAAGTTCAGGTCTCATGCCACCTTGCTACCCCCTTGGAGAGACTTTTTTTTTTGACTTTTCCATTCCTAATTTCTAATACTTCTATGACCTCTCCTGTATATATTCTCATGCTCATTTCTCCAACAGTTACTTACATTCATGTCTCACTTTCCTACAAAACTGAGGGTAGAGGCAATATCATTTTTCATAGAATCATATGATTAGAGCTGGAAGGGACCATAGAAACCATCTAATCCATACTTCTCTTTTAATAAATGAGCAAAACTGAGGCCCATAGAGGCTAAGCCATTTGCTCAAGTGCTGGTGTACCCAGTGTCCTATTGGACTATTAATAACTATTAAACTAAGTAACTAACATTCTCATCAAATTGATTTGGTTATATGGTCTAGTTTCACATTAAAGAAGTCACCCAGGGAAAGCATAGCTAGGTAACATTAGGGAAAAACAACACATGTATCTGACTCTTATAATAGTAGTAATAGACTTTGAAGTAACAGACTCCTATCAATGATAGACTCAGAAAGCTTCTTTGATGTAGTGAAAAGACTCTGGGCTCTGCCACTTCCTGCGTGACATCACTAACCTATTTTCTTTCTCTACAAAATGGGGGATATTATCTAGAGGTATGGTAAAAATAAAATGAGATAATGTCTAGTAGAGCACTTTATGACCATTAAAACCATTAAAAATGCAAATTATGAATCAATGAGAGAGCCCTGAAAAGTATACTTAACATTCAGGTATGGTAATATCTCTCATCACTTAACCAGAGTTCACTTATCCTCACTCAGGAACTTGGCCTAGACCTAAAAGGAAGTAAAAGTAGCCTCCAACACGTCAAAATTGGTAGAACACAGGCACTGAGCTAAAATAATGCACATTGATTGTAGGAGAGCCTCTAATTATAGCATCAACTCTCTTGTTTATTCTTATTTTAGACATAATTCTAACAAACTTGCCAATCTTGTTACCTGGCCACGTAGAAGAAAGGCAATAAATTTAGAATCAATTAGGAGCCTGCAAATGTGAGCACACTGAGAGCATTAACAAGTGACAGCAAGGAAAAAAAAAAAGGGACAGCAAGGGAGAAGATGGAAAAACTATAAAAAGACATAAGACCTCAGAAAGCATAAATAGCACCCTGAAGAATTATATGTTTAAAGACATACGTCAATAGCTCCTTGAGGTATCACCGTATCACCTTTATTGATATACATAATGGATCATAGAAAGAACTAAAAAGCATCTTGGCCATTATCTGCTCCAATCTCCTCCCCCTCCTCCACCTCATGCTTGAGTACACTTTACAATATCTCTAAGGTATGGTCACCCAGCCTCTGCCTGAACAAATCCAATTAGAGGGAGAGCAGTAGCTCATAATAATATTGGACATTTACAGCTGTGCTTTATGTTATACAAAGGGCTTTACATACAATATCTCATTTGAATCTTATAACAATAAGGTAACCGTACCAGACAACTCTTATATCTTTTCAAAGGCTCTCATTCCCTTCATAGGAATGAGTAGTCCCTTACATTTTTGGACAAAATGCCTCCCCAAACTTCAATTAGTTGGTAATACTCTGTTTCCTGAAGCTATACAGAATAAATCCAGTTCCTTTTCTATTTGTTAGCCCTTCAAGTATTATAAGAAAACTTGCTGAAGAATGCAAGCTACTTGAAGGCAGTGACTTCTTTGTCTTTCAATCAATAACTAAATGTGATGAATCAATCAATAAACATTTAAGTGCTTATTATATGTTTATCATTCACATAGTGAGCACTTAAAAAATACTTGTTGAATTGAATTGTGACCTTGAGAAGTCTTCTCATCTTCCTGAACCTTTTATCACATGACACAGTTTCCAATCAGTTCATCAGCCTATTCATAGCTCCATAGTTGGACTGGCATTAGGCAACGTTTCCCTTAAACTGTAGCAATCAGACCTGAACAAAATACTACACAAGCGATATGACTACTGGAGAGTGCAGAGGAACTAGTATCTTTCTTGCTTGGAACACATCTATTACGACTGTTTAGAATTACATTAGCTTGCACAGGGTGGAGGTGGGGGGGGCGCAGAAAGTGGAAGGCAGGGAAGTAGGGAGGGAAAGTCATGTCTTACACCAGTAAATTAAGCTTACAGTCTTTGAGCTTTTTGAGATCCAGAGCTGTCTTTTGCTTTTCTTTGTATCCCCAGTGCTTATCATGGCCTGACAAATACAAAGTTCTTAATGTTTATTGACCCAGTAAAATCCATATTCTTTATAAGTCAACAAGTCTATAAGCCTTTATTAAGTACCTACGATGTGCCAGGCTGATACCAAGAAAGACAAAAGACAACACTTCATCGCAAGGAGCTCACAGTCTAATAGGAGAGACAATATGCAAACAACTATGTATAAACAATATACATACAGGATAAACTGGAGATAATCAACAGAGGGAAGGCACTAGCACTGAGGGGGAAATCACATGAATGATGTGATTTTTTTCATCAAGAAATCGCTAAATTATGTTCAATATATGTTGTTTAATAAGTATATATAGTAGAGTGAGTATATAACACATTTAAGAAATATCCCTATCCCAAATGGTAAAATACTAATATTTCAAAGAATTAGCACTTCAGTACAATAACCATAAGTTATCTGAAAAATTCACTTACGTAGAAAACAATGCTGAATGAATG